AAAAAATTTTTTTTTTTTTTTTTTTTTTTTTTTTTTTTGTGCCCATCAAAACATTTTAATGTAATTATTATTATTATTATTATTATTATTTTCTTACATATAAAAACGGTAAAAAAAATTGATAGTGGTTTAAACAGTTTTACATAATTAATTTGCATATTAATAATAGACGTTAGTCAACAATAAATGCACGTTTTATTGACGAGACTATTCAACTGTACAAATTTTTTATTTGGATATAACTTTAAAATAGCCCATATTTGCAACTGTTTTAAATCTCATTTTATGTAATTATTTTAAATCAAATTGCAACCTAACCTTTTATTTTAATATTATAATTAAAAACCCTAAACAAAAAGAAAAAAAAATTGGATGTTATATTTAATAAATTTGGAGAGTTTTATATTTAAAGATCGCAAGTCGATTAGAAACCGACCGTGTAAAATCTCTCCTTAGTAAACACATTTAAAAAAATCGGGAGACTAACGAGAATACATCCTAGGATAAAGATATAATATCTAGTGAGTAAATGATATCAAAACCAACCTGCATGTAGAAATATTTTTTTAAATTAATTAATTTAAAATTAACAAAAATTTAAATTAAATTTATTTAAAAATTGAAAAATAAATGTAAAATTTAATCGGAAGGCGGTGACAAGTGGTAAATTAGAATCATATGCCTTCCAGATCTGAATAATCAATAAATCTAACAACTTTCTCCCATTTATATTAGTGGAAAACCACAAACAAATTAAAAAATTCAAATTAATTAAAAAAATAATGATAATAATAATAATAATAATAAATTCCAGATTCTAAAAATGGAAAAAATAAAAAAATGGAGACTGTTGGCATTGTTTGACTTATTATCGGTCAAAGACTCAATATAATTGAAATTATTTGGATGCTTAAAATTTGAAAACCTCCCAAGTTGCATCTAAATAAATAAACCTTAATCAAATTATATTTAAAAGCTAAATTTTGAGTAAAAATTTAATTAATTATCTATTTTAAAACGCTTAAATGATATTTTTATGCTATCAAAATTGATCTTAAATTATAAAACTTGAATGGTAAATTTAACAATTTTAAAATCACTATCAAATATATCACAAGTCATTTGATACAAATTAACTCGGTGAGAATAGTTGACATGTGCTCATATAGTAGTTTTTGCACGCGTGTACATATCGATGAACGAGTAGTAGCAACTCAAATTTTTTATGGATAAGACAATAATTTTTGTATTAGAAACTACGAGCCTCTACAGTAATATGATATCATCCAATTTAAACATAAAATATCGTATGAACATTCGGCTGAGTTTGGTTCAAAATGAGGTGGAAGGAGCGAGCGGTGTTTGGTTTGGATGTCGAAGACAAAGGGTAATGGCACTCGGCGCCGCACTGTCAAGCCGTGGCAGACTGCGTGGATGTTGGCTTGTCTGTCGGGACTATGTCAACCATTTGGATTCTTCTAGACCCACTCATTTTTTTTTTCAAATTTTTATATTGTTATTAATTCTTTATTTTTTTTTTGTACTATTTTTATTTGCTCCACTTCAATTCCAAAATTGTACTTCTATCAAATTATGTACTTGTAATTAACATTATTAAATATATATAATATTCAGGAATTGGAATATATAAATTTATAATATTATTGTTTCATTTAGTTAAATTTAAAAAAAAAAATCTAAAAAACTAGAATGTTACCCTTAATAGAAATTGTAACTTGAAATGTGTGCAGTGATGATCTGGAACAATACGACGATAATCCGATATAATTTTAAAATATTTATAAAAGGTTAATTAACATATTAAAACTAAATACTTACCGTACAATAAAGTCATAAAATTCCACAAATTCTAAAAGGTACCATTGGAATTGAAAAGGTACCATTTAATTTGGATGAGATAGAATCTAGAGAGAATTCCACTTTCTTTAAATTCTGAGCCAAAAAAAAAAAAAAAAAAAACATAGATATTTTCTCTGATATTTGTCATATTATTAGTTGACTCATAAATTACCTATCTAAAATTAGCAAAAACTACTCATAAAATACAAAAATTTATTTATCCATAATTCATTTATTTATCCATAATTCATTTATATTGGTTTTATTCCATGTTTCAATTTATGTCCTTTTATATATATATATATTTTTTAATTATTTTTTAGAATTAATTAGGTGAGTAATTGTTTTAAAATAAAAAAATTCATGGAGATTTTAAAATAAAATCTAAAAACTGAAATTATTAATTTTTAACTCTGGATAAATATTAAAAAAAATATGGGAATAAAATAGAAGAAAATATGAGAGATTAATTCAACAAAAGTAGGCGATTATTATATATTTTGAGACGGGTCAAAATCGGGCGGCGCGGGACACCGAGACCAAGAAGAAGTGTCAGACCCGACCCCACGGTCGGGTTTCAAAAGAACAGAACCGGACCGAGCCGCACGATTGCCCAAACCCCAACCCCGGAAAATTCAGATCTTGAAAGTCGACATTCCACGCCAATGAAGGTCAAATTGTAATTTTGAACGAATAAATTAAAAATCATATATATATATATAAATATAAATATATTTTTTTGGGATAATTCAGGGAATAATAATAATAATAAAAATAAAAATAAAAATAAAAATAAAAACCTAAAATTAAAATATGTTTAACAGTTGTTATTACAGAAGCCGGCTTGTAGTGTTTGGAGAATTTAAGTCGGAGTGGGACCCAATATTCACAGCACAGACATTTCCTATTTATTCCAAAAATAATAATAATAATAATAATAATAAATAAATAAATAAATAAATAAATTGTTTTAATATTCATGAGCCTTCGTCTTTCGTTTCTCCATCCCTTGTCTGAAACCTATTTTTATTTGGTTCTTGGAAGTGTCTTCCTTCTTCCTTATTTTGGTGTTTGAATCTTGTCTGGACGAACCCTATATAGAGAGAGGGAGAGAGATTAGTTAACGGAAGCTGTAAAGAATGGCGACGACGACCACAAGTATTGGCGGCGGCGGCGGCGGTGGTGGGGAGGATAGAGTTATGGCTACCGCTCAGCAGATTGTTAAGAGCCTCAATACACCCAAGGAGGTTCAAGAAGACATGCTTTTGATCTTCTCTAGTTTTGACAATCGTCTTTCTAATATCTCCAGTTTGGTCAACAGTGGAGATTCGAAGAGGGAAGGGGATCGATATGAAGCTGCTGAGAAGCTGATTCTTCGTTGGGATTCTGGTCCTGGAGCTTCTCGGAACTCCCTTAATTGGGAGGATTCGCCGGAGGAGGCGGCTGAGTACTTATCGGCGGTGGATGATATCATTCAGTGGATCGATGACTTGTCAATTCGTTCGGATTCTGCTGAGATCGTCGACCGTGCTGAGAACGCGATCCAGATCGCTATGTCGAGGCTTGAGGATGAGTTTCGTCATATGTTGATTCGGAACACTGTCCCTCTCGATGCGGAGCATCTCTACGGTTCAATTCGGAAGGTTTCGCTCTCTTTTGCTTCACACGACAGCGAAAATTCCGATGAGTTTGAGTCGTTTGCCGATGTTGACCGTGGTTCTGGAATCTTCCATGAGCGTGGTGTCAGTTTGGGCGATGATTTGCGAGTCGATTTGATCAATCCTGACGCTGTCGTTGATTTGAAAGAGATTGCCGACCGGATGATTCGGTCTGGATACGAAAAAGAGTGTCTCAACGTGTATACTGGTGTCCGACGCGATGCTCTTGATGAATGCTTGGTGGTTCTTGGAGTTGAGAAGCTAAGTATTGAGGATGTCCAGAAAATTGATTGGAAGATCTTGGATGAGAAGATGAAGAAATGGATCCAAGCTGTTAAGGTCAGTGTCCGAGTCCTTTTGACGGGCGAGAAGCGACTGTGTGACTATATCTTCAGCGGGTCCGATGACTCCGAGGAAGTCTGCTTCAATGAGACTGCTAAAGGGTGCATCAGGCAGTTACTGAATTTTGCAGAGGCCATTGCCATGGGGGAAAGGTCAGTGGAGAAGCTATTTCGTATTCTAGATATGTATGAAGCTCTGGAATACGTTTTGCCGGACTTGCAGGCTATGATCACTGATGAATTTGTGATTGAGGAGGCGCAAGGAGTGCTTTCTAGGCTGGGAGAGGCCGCTAAAGGTACATTTGTTGAGTTTGAGAATGCTGTTCGGAATGAGACTTCTAAGAAAACAATGTTAAATGCTGAGATTCACCCGCTCACTCGTTATGTCATGAATTACTTAACATTGGTTGTGGTTTATAGTAAGACTCTTGATGCACTTTTAGAAGGCGACGACGAAGATTTGCAGCACCTAGGGGGCGATGGTGCTGAAAATTCGGAGTTGGAAACTATGTCACCATTGCCTCGTCGGCTGTATTCATTGTTATCATCACTGGAGACCAATCTAGAAAGAAAATCCAAACTCTATGGCGATGATTCGATTCAATATATATTTCTCATGAACAATATACAATACATTGTGCAGAAAGCAAAAGATTCTGAGCTTGGAAAGCTCTTGGGTGACCGCTGGGTTCGTAAGCGCCGAGGCCAGGTTCGCATATATGCGACGAACTATCTTAGGGCGTCTTGGGGTAAATTATTAACTTTCTTGAAGGAAGAAGGTACTGGTGGGAGCTCCAATAGTGCCCTGAAACTAGCTACTTTGAAGGAAAAGTTCAAAAATTTCAATGCTGGCTTTGAGGAAATCTATAGAATTCAGACAGGTTGGAAGGTTGCCGATGCTCAACTACGAGAGGAGCTCCGAATTTCAGTATCGGCAAAAGCGCTACCTGCATATCGTGCCTTCTTGGGAAGGCATGGAAGTCAGTTAGAGAATACAAGACATGCTGGGAGGTATATAAAGTACACATCGGATGACTTGGAGAACTATTTATTGGATTTGTTTGAAGGATCACCACAAGTTATACACAACTTAAGAAGAAAAAGTAGTTCATAGAGGGATATTGAACCGACTCTATTTATACAGGTATGACCCATTGAAGAGGTTGCCCTGTTGAATCTAGTTTCGTGATATTTACTGTTCTTTGTTGTTAATACAATAGGGTCAGAAAGACTCATGTACATGTTTTATAGGCTATAATTTATGTATTTCTTGATTGTCATGGTTGGGCTCGTGCATTTCTTACTTGGTATCTTTTATAATGTCATACATTTTTGGATTTTACCTTATGTACATGAAACTGCTACTCAATAATCATCATTCCTTATCTCTTTAGTAGAGAAACATTCTTAAATGCATATTGTAATCTTTAAGATCAAAACCAGGCTATCACTTGCAACTTCCGCGGCGAAACGGTTTAACATCTCTAGTAGGTTATTGCTGTTGGTGATAACTATGATCCATTTGGTTGAATCTAGGTGCATCTATGACTGACTCTGAGGTTTGTCCCAGATCTGGCTAATCTGCTTCACTTCTACTGGTTTGCCCTCAATCTTTTGGTTTTCAGAAAGAGTTTTTGCTGAAGTAGTCTGCTTTAAGGTGTTGGAAATCTTGCATGATAATCGGTGTTGGTGGCATTTTAGACACATGGATGTACCTTCAGTACTTGCACATTGATATCACCTAAGATCATTGTCATCAATTCTGTTGAATGCCTTTTCTGTACTTTTGCATTAGGTAGTGGCAAGGATAACGAGATCTCCTGCCAGCTGTCTTCTCTTCCTATCATTGAACTTCGTTCGAGAGATCTGATCAAATCGGATCTCACTAGGGCGGGCGAAGGGGAAGGAAGGGATGGGTGATCCGGGAACAACAACAATGGGAGAGGTCTCGTAACCCCCTAGTTCATTTGTTTGGTTTATACTTAATTTAGTGCTTTAAAGTACTGATATTCTTGTGGGGACTGAAACTTTTGGTTGATTATACTATTTCCTCTGTTGGTTAGCCAGCTTTTAGAGAAGTTTGGATGGGGAACTGATTGTTTCCAAGTTCTTGTTGGTGACAATTTTAGTCTTGTATGGCTTCTTTTGGTTGCTTCTATATTTCTCTCGCTGAGACTTGAGAGAAACATCCTATTCAGCAGCTTATCTAAATAGTGGGGGATCATATCCTTCCTATATTCACGGATGTTTTAGCCAATGAACCGTGGACACGTGTATTGTCAAGAAATGATGTCTATTCTTATGGTCTAAGAATGTAAATTAGCTCTTGTTTTTTTTCTGATGGATTGTACTGGTATGAAGATTCTCTATGTGGGTTGGCTTTGCCTTGCAGGACACTTTAATTTGCCTTTTAAGCCATCAACCACTTGCGTCAAGGCTTAATCAAAGGCTTAGAAAGCCCGATTTATGCACTATTTGATGGCTCAAAATTGTGTCAAATTTGAAGGATGCACCGGCCAATCTTCTAATGTGGTTATGGTTAATAGCTTGTTAGACGTTCCTATCATTCTAAGCTTAATTTTAGACTTATGGTGCCGAATCTGCATGTCAATTGTCAAATGCCCCCATATAGTTATTTGTACTAGAAATTCGAAAAAAAAAAAAAAAAAAAATCTACAAAGTTATTTTAGTTGGTCTTTTTAAAAAAAGAAGGGGAAAGTTTAGTTTTCTCATGATTTTAATTATGAGTGTCATAGGTTTGAATCTCCACTAGCAATTGGTGGAAAGTCCGGGTTCAGAAACACCCATCACAAATTCGTGGTTTATCCGTTATCACTAACAAAGCATGAAAGATGTCGCAGTTAAAAACTGCATCTCTTGAACAGTGTTGTCAAGGTTGCACAGCCTCGAGAAGCTTTTCATACACCTGTCTGGCAGACAAATCCTCAACCTGAAATAATTACCAAAATATTAGACTTAAAAACAAGATGCACCGACAAGCATCAAGAACATCGCTGAGAAATAGTCAGTTTAGATAACGAGCACTAAGGTGGGTTATAAAGTGCTGTGCTTTTCTTATAATGTGGTGCCAGATTACTTAAGTTAGCAAAAAAAAAAAAAAAAAACAAGACAGATGGTGGGTGGCAATGTAATATGCAAGAAACAACACCTATGAGTACGAGTATGAGAAGAGAAAAGGGGACTGTTGAATATCATGTGCATTACAGGAGTGATCAACTCACCACAAGAAGCTTCGATTTGTTGTTCCATCCCCGTTGGAGAGTCATTTGGCTAAGCCTCAGTCCTAAGACCTGATTTGCAGAAAATAGTTTTTTTGAGTAAAAGAAGCTGGCTGATGTACATGCAGAGGCAGAGAGAGGATGCAAAGTTTTGTTTTTATTTTTTTAAGAAACCAAGAAGGAAGGAAGGATATACAAAAGATATATGAAAATCGAGCCCAAAAACAAGCAACCTCACGCACAATTAGAAAAAATGGAACCAATCCAAAATAATAAGGCTAACCTAATAGTTATATAAAAATCCCTATTAACCGATGCTTATCTTAATCAAATCCCAAAGATGCTCCCTGATCACTCCCCCCACAACAAATTCTAGAGAAAGGGGATGCAAAATAATGCAGGCATTGAAGATCCAGAACCAAAAACATATATCAATAGCTCAACAAGAATCAGAATGTACTTTTCCCATGAACTCCAAAAGTTCATTGTTGGCTTCTCCCCGGGCTGCAGGCGCAGCAACAGCAACACGTACATCATCAGCATTTACTCCTGCAAAAAGAAAATATATCATTCTTGTGTGTGTGTGTGTGTTTGTATGAGAGGAAACTATAATCAAGAAAAATAGTATTATATGTGAGTAAATATCAACAGTTGCAGGGTAAAAGTTAAGACAGCTTTTTAATTAGAATGTATACAAGTTACTCTCAGTATAAACCGACTGTTCCTAGAGTTCACCCACAAAATTCCCACCTAATCAAATAACAAATTGTATTATTTTTCTTCCAGAGACAGTACGTTAACAAGCTAGCATTCAAAATAAAAATTGATCCTTAGTCCAAAAATCTACGATATTCTTATATTTGTATAGTTTCATTCTTGAAATTATACTTAATCTAAGGTACCAGAATTTGACCTTCCTTGTTCTTCTTTGTTACACAACACAATAACAAAGATTAATCATCAAAGAATTCATCTAGTTTCAATATTTGAATCACAATTGCATGCTAGGATTCGTGCAATGATGTAGAACCTTTGCATTCTGTCTACAACAAAATTAAAGTTTAATTTAAGTTTACAGATAAAGATCACGTGCATAAAGATAAATATGACAGCAATTATATCTTTTATACTTGTGATTGCTGAGCGCTGTGCTCGATCTTCAACTTCTATGGCCACTTGGACAAGTCCTCCTTCAAGTTGAGATATACAGGGTGGCACAGGAGCATCCTAATAGAGTTGTTTTCTTGAGTGAGAATTGATGTGATTATTTACAAATCACAACATGATATTGAAACACCTTTGTAAAGAATACATTAATATTGTTATTGTATATGCACCAAGAATTAATTAAAGCTCAACAACCAAAAGAAGGTAAGAGCTGGTAAAACTTTCATTATTTTCATCTCAATGATTTTTATAATAATATAATAGAAGCTGTATTCTGTCAATATAATAATATGTTACAAACCATTTTTTAAGAACTCTACTTACTATATGATATGTCCATCAGAAGTTGACGAAAGATCAACTTACCAACAAACTGTTAGCAATGAATTGCTATAAGTGCTAGATAAATTCTTGGAATTGGAATTATTGTGTAGAAGCTTACAGTGAAAAATAAACAATATGAGCAATATAATGAATCACGGTTGCTATTATTATAATAGACTGCCATACCTGTGGATTGGTTTCAGCAGCTACAGTACTGAGTGCACCATCAACAACATAAATGAAAGAAGCAAATTCCAAATCTTCCTCTGAGCGATAACACACAAAGAGTCCACAGCCTATACAGTTCATGCGGTATTGCCTTTCAAGTTTCCCTTCACCCCTGAAAAATAATTATAAGCTACAAAAATGTTAATTCAATACTTTCCATATTTTCCCAATTCGATAAACATTTAAGTCGTATTCTGTCACATTAGACTATTTTCACAGCAAGATCATTGATCTCTCCCAAAAGAGGGAAAGCCCACTCCTGAATGAAAATGCGTGCCTGAAACTCTCCTCTTTTCAAATTATCAATCTCATATTTATTCTTTTTGTTTATGGTTCATTCTCAAAGAAGGCATATGCACAGATTGTCTTTCCACACGCAGATGGTACAGAATGAACCTAGATTACCTGATTCAAGCTTATTTTAACCAATAAAACAGAGAGCCTCCTCTAGATTACAATCCTGCATCCATCCTTCAGATGGAATGAATATCTTCATGAGGTCGAGTTACATGTAACTATTTGGGAAAAATTTATATTATAATGGGCAACACAGAGTACAAAGCGAACCTTATGCTGAACCCCAATTTATTAAACTAGTCAGAAATTTCAAATTGGTTACATCGCCCCATAAACATCAATCTTTGACCATCTAAAGAACAGATATCAACTTAAAAGGTAAAATCCTGTAGACCATCTCCAATGTAAATTCATTCACATCCCTTCTATACAGAAGTGAAATGCCCGAAAATGCACGCGCACACACGTAGAGAGAAAGTAGGGTTACCTTTTCAATAGAACTTTTCCCGCCTCATTGACATTTAACCTTGCAAGATGTTTCTTCTTGTCCAACACAAAAGCCTTGTCTGTCTTCCTTTTCGGCATTTTCTGCAATTGAGTATCTTATAGTATATGTGTTCAGTACGGTCAAATGCCACATAAAGATTTTATTTCTTGGAATGATAGCAAAATAATCCTGATCATTAGTTCATGAACTCTAATTCAAGAATACTATGCTTCAAGAAGAAGGCAACTTGGCATGAAGAAAGTGTAAAGTGCACCTAAATTTCCTCATCCCAGCTTAATTTTCACAATAAAGCGGAGAGATAACCTACTCTAGATTGCATCCGTCCGTCAAATAGAACGAACATTTTCATCGAACTGCATTCAGTTCATACATAAATACCTTCCAATCATCTCTAACTGTTGATTCCACATTGAAGCAATGAATTTATTCCTATTTTATTCTCAACTTACTTGTTTGGGGAAAAATAAAGAAAGTCTAGAGTCCACGAAGGAGTACCAGTGATTAGGACGTGCGATCCACAATGCTTGCAGTAGTAAACGAAGAGATCAGAATCTGGTCCATCTGGTGCGGCGTCCTCGCTCGAGTACGTATGCGTTGTTCTCTTCGGCATGGCTTTTTCGTTCTTCTTCTTCCTCCTCGCTTCTCCTTCCCCGGTCCTCGACCAACAACTACGAACCAGATAAAGCTCTCGTCCTGGTCGGGCAAGCCTGCTTTTGTATGGCGCAAGCCCATTTGTAGATAATGGCCCATCATCGGCCTCTTAACCCTTATTTCATTTAAAAAAATAATATATATTTTTCCGTCCATAAATTTCGAATATAGTTTTGATTAATCCCTAATTTCAAAAATTACAGTTTTATTCATAAATTATGAGTTTTTATTTACTTAGTCCCTAAATTTCACAATATTACATTTAACCTTCAATTTTGAATTTAGTTTTCCTTTTTGAGTTTTTTTTTTTTTTTACTAATAATTACTTTTGGTAATCTAAAATAATTATGATGTGTATTTTTAAATTATTTGTTACTGTGACAATAAAATTAATGAAAACTACTTTAATTATTTTAATTATTTAAGACTAATTAATATAAAATAAACACAAAATAAAATTAATGAAAACTACTTTTATTTGGACATATTTCATTCACATCTTCAAATCATCAATAAGTTCATAGCACACAAGCGTATCACTAGATCTTATTAAGATAAGATTGAGCAATACCATGACTTCATACAAAACGGAACCCGAAACAAAAGTATAATTAGTGTAGACTAGAGAAACAGACATGCAATCATGAACAAATAACATCGCGCATTCATTCGACCTGCTCTTGGGCTCTTGGGCTCGATAGAAGCTGACCTCTGCAACGAGTAACAATAAATTGTTAAAAATATGTGGCGAATTCAAGAACAGGTGATTGGATCGACTTTTATGCACTTAAAAAGTGTTAACAAACAACTATAAAGAACCCTAGCTTAT